CAACGTATTTAGGTCCTGTTGCATGGTCTTGATATGTGTCAATCCTCGGGTTGCTAGTCCTTCGCCAAAGGCTGCTGGACCATTTGCTTTCAAGGCATACCAATGGCATACGACATCTTGTCTCGCTTATCCCGGCCAGGCCGTTGGATACCCTCTCGCGCGAGCATAGCCATTCGGTTGCTATGTCAATCTTACAACCCTCTCTCAATAGCAGTTTCGTGGACTATACCATGGCATTCTCGTCAGGCTCAAGGAGGTTGGTAAGGAGTAAACGCGGTTGATCGTTGGTCCGGTTATCGCGTCGAGCGGAATTGCTCCGGCATCAATGACCCAGAAATGCACGTGTTATCAGCATAAGCAAAAACTTACTTCACGCTTCATCCTCTCGACACGTCTTCACTGCTCCAGCAGTGGTCAGTATCATTTCACAGCATCTCGAACTCGCCCATCCTCACTTCGAGTTGGCGGCTTGCCATGCCTGTCGCCGAATATTGCATCCCAATCGCGGCAATGTCGCCATGACGATAGCCCTCAGAGACTCCATACGTCTCTAGTCAAACATTTGCTTTCTTCCATGGGTCACAGCTCGTGGTGGTAGTCCTTCTCAATGCTTTTGTTCGGTCAACATCACTTTTGTACAACGAAGTTTGGAGGATCCCAATATGCTCTGGGCTGAGTGCATTCAGAGCTGTCACGAAGCTCTTGCTTCTACCACTGCCCGCTGCAAGCCTGTCCTCGCCCTAGCTAGGGTATTGTCGAGCAATGGCCGTGGTATTCGTGATATCCACAGAAGCATCCGGCGAGGGCACGTGTTGTCGCTGCATAGCTGTGGTACAATACCAACCAATGCTTGGTTGTTCGCTGTGCTTGTCAAGTTTTCTGTTCAATTTGCTACCCGCCATATTGTGGTAAGTCGGTGTTCATGTTATTACAACTCATGCCTGCAGCAGAAGCACACAATTAGCTTGATTTCTGGGCAGGTGCCGTATCCTTCAAGCAGGAAGCTACGGCCATGGCGCCTGGCCTTAGCAAGGGCCGCGCTGCTAACAATGCTAACAGAATAGGCTCAAAGCTCATGATGTGCTCTGGTGAGTGCTACATGGGACTACGTGGGAGGCATGGCTGGGAGACAGTATGTCATCGTTGCCTAGGGCACGAGTTTTCTAGTCAAGGAGCAGATCCAATGAGAATGGTGCAGATTGGCTCCGCCAGACTGCGGCATTGGCTCATAGAGGTGAATACAATTTCTGTTCCGCTTCTGTTCTTCCTTTCTTCTTCTTCACCAGCACAGCAATCACGATGGCGACTCCGTCGTGTTACGTTGCGGTGTTTTTTGCTCTCTGGAGCAGCATGTTTTTTCCTGGCGTCGTGTAAGTCTATTGTGATCCATCATGATGAGTGGTAGCTAACGGAACGGTGCAGGGCAGTCTACGACTATGTTGTGCCCGGGTCCGCCAGCACCCCCCTGGCGTGTGCCTGGATCTTGTTTTTTGCGGTTGTCCTTTCGTCGCTCTAGAAGGGGACGCTCGCGGGGCTCTTTAAGGGCCTTTATAGGATGTTCTGGTCTCCGGGTTGGCGGGAGTATTGGCGGGCCAAGAAGGCCAGAAAGATGAGCAAGGATGTGTTGGCAAAAAGCCAGCACAAAAGAGATTTATATATGCTGCAGGAGCGGCTTGATGGCCTTCGTGGCCGAGATGACCGGGCCGCCATCAAAGAGATGCGGTCTTTGACCTCTTCGATTGAAGAGATTAGAGAAGCTCTGGAAGGTTTAGGGGAAATATATCCCCATCCCGCTCCTCCTCTCTCCTCCTCCTCCGTCGACGACCTCCCCACCACTCCTCCTCTCCTCCCTTCTCCGGCCGGGTCTTCCTCCCCGGAATCCATCGAAAAGCCGGCGGGCTATAAACTGCAAAATCTCTTCCAGAGAAAGCGAAGAGATAGGAATACCCTCTCGGGCTAGAAATAGCCGTATCGACAATCCCGCGGAACGAAACCCCCAGTACCCAAAGGGGGCCAGAAAAGCGCACCGGGACCCCAACAAAGTTGCACCTTGGCGTAGATGTTGGGGCTCCAGATCGTCTTTGAGCAAAAGCGATCTGGTCCAACGCAACTTCATCGACAGCGATCAAATCACACAATTTCGCTTACCCCGGTTACACTAGTGAAGCCACAGTTCATACTGGTCTCGCAAGTAAAGCTTATGTCAGATCATCAATGACATCCCGCTCACACGAAGAACAATCTGCTATCGACCAACATCCTGAGAAAGCAGATGACAAGATTGTCACATCACAATGAAATCCAAGCGATTCGAATCAGTTCGCAGAGGAAACACACCAGCACGGAGAAAGAACACACCAGTACGGAGAGAGAACACATCAGCACGGGATAGGACACAATATACGAAAAGCACACATTAGCTCAAGGAGCCAAAGCATGAGTTATCGAGGCAGTGAGAGTAGAAAGAGATGCGAGGGGTCGGTCACAAAGAGGAACGCTGATGAGAAGGCTTGCCACATGACTGCTGTCCGCAACAGATTATATTGTTCAAGGACGAAGAGTTCAGGGTGGCTGCCATGGAGCGTACAACCTATCAGCTGGGCTCGAGATCTTGATCATGAGCGCATGTATCGATATTTGGTCAACCGCCGAGCACTCCGTGAGAAGCATCAACTGTACACCAACATTCAGTGTCAGCACATGATTCAGCTCAGCCACATGACTGTTCGACGATCCTTATCCGACCAGTCACAAATCAGCACGGAGCGAGTTCTACCAGAAGATGCTCTACGCGGCCTTTGAAGGCTGTATGTCACCTTTTGAAGCTCGCAGATGGACATCCTGCAAGGAATGCTAGCATTTTATCCAGCCTGGACCAAGCCAGACCACATTCCTCCGAGAATCTACAAACCAGAGTGAGCCTCGCTGCCAAAACAAGAGCACGCAGCATGTCGCCTCCTACCGAGTCATCCTGCTAAAGGAATAGCAAGCCGTCAGCTGGATCCAACAAGTCACCATACCACTGCAAGCCACGTTCTTCAACTTCCTTTGGACATGTACCATCAACTGGAAAGTGGGTTTCAAAATTGGACAGCACTGCATGGTACGGGGAATGCAGCAGCGACGCAAGCCTCGGCGCACCTTGGCCGCGACCGTGAAGGCAAAGCGGCTTTTGCAGTCTGGCGAAATTCCATCGAGGTGCGTTCGCTAACTTGCTCACTGCGACCGATGTCAATGCTAATGAAACCATAGCTGCAGCATTGGGCCCAAGCCACCGCTCGTTCGGACGACTCATGTCTGTGCCATAGTGTCAGCATCTCCACCCGATTGCCTACCTCAAGATGACTTGGAGTCTGCAGCGAAACTCATCAACATGATCGCCCTCTCCTTTCACGACTTCAGTAAGATCAGCGGCGCCTGCCATCCAACCAAGACCAGGACTAGAGGAACCGCTCTGGAATCAGACATCTCCGCAAAGTGCAACGACTCCAGCGACAATGTCATGCAGTGGGTCTGAGGCTTTGCTCAAGACAGATATACACAATGCGAGGTCATGATGGTGTTCTACATCTCCTTTCCACAATATCGCCCTCAAAAAGGTGGATGGCTTTCGGGACAGAAGGTGCATTCTGTTGAGGTTGGCAGGCCCACCTCTGTGGCACGCTCCAACCATGATTCAGGTGAAGAGAAGCTGATGACTCCGCTCAGAGCCTGGATTACCTTCTCATATCGCCCGCAAGGACATATCGGTCATCAATGTCATAGCAAGTTCAGCATGCGGAGGCCGGACCAGAACGAGTCTCCATCCGTCCTTGAAACATGCTACATTAGGACGGAGAGCTTGCCAGACTGCCGTTCGGCTGGACAAACATAGTCAGGCTACCAAGCACAAAGCATTGGCGTTTCGCAAACACAACAATCAGAACAATCTGTTATGGGCATATGGCATAGCACCAGCCTAGTCAGAACTTCTCTCTCCTCATACAGCACATCACCAGTGACGATGAGCAATACCCCTGACACACCGAATTGGCACTCTGATCAGCCACTCATCAGCGTTCATACGAAGAGGTTCGTTCTACAGTCACACATTTCAGACGAGACGAAGGAAGCTTTTCGGGGCAACGTTGTGAGGGATGCCACATGGGACGACTATCCCAAGAAGAGGCCGGAATTTGATCACAAAGTTCACCGCCGGATCATCAAGGAGTTACTGCGGAAGTCCTCCAGAGACGGGAGTGAAGACTTCAACCAGATCGCCGTCATGTCCTATCTCGGCGACGTTGGCCATCGACTTGGATTCCTGGTTCCCTTGTTGATATGTGCGCCCTTCAAGAACGACGATTTGATATCTGAACAGCGTGAAAAGGAAATAATCATCGAAGCAGGCTTCGTCAAGGAGCAAGATGGTAGTGCGAAGCGCGCAAGTGCGGGTAGTCAACATTGAGGATGATGGACTTGCTTCCGCACCACAACAACTTGAAGCAAGCAATGCGAACGTCCTCCCGTCCTGCTTGGCCCGCAGTGCGCCCGCCAGCCGCGCGACTGACTCTCCTCGTAACTGCTCGCGACAAACCGTGCTACGGTGCCCCCCTAGAGCGCTGGAACGAATGGCGTGGCGGTCAGGAGCCACTCGGACCACACAATCATAGACACCCCGAACACCATGGCATTCGGCACTCGGGTGATGCGAGGACGCCTACGCAGCGTTCAAGATAGGCAAACCACAACGCCTGGCTGGCGGCATCGTGGCTGTACTCAAACATACCCCGTGCTCCAAGAGAATCATCCTGCGTACACGCTGGTGGCATTTATACTCCTTCCGTAACTGCTCGTAGCCCTCGAGTGAGATATCAGGTATCACTCTCTCCTCATCGCGTACAGCACCTGCCGTAGCTAAATCGGGTGTCTTGCAAAAGATCTCTGCCGTGAGATTGAAGGTTGAATCAGCAGAAATGCAAAAAAGATGCGGTTCCGAAGGCATTGGACTCAAGTTCTTCTACAAACGCCCGGAATCGAACCGGGAACCTTCTGTGTTACGGCAAACTTGCGTTGAGCGAGCTGTTAGACAGAAATCATAACCGCTAGACCACGTTTGCCAGGACAGTCGAGTCGCAGCTCGATATGTTTGTCATGTGACCACAAACTTTGTCTTTCAAAACTATGAAGAAAGATTTCCACGTTACCGGAGTTCAACCGAGCGCCAAGAGGACCCCTAAGCCATCACGGAGCTGTGTCCCTTGCCTCAGGATGCCCATCGCTTTCACAACTTTGCTCGCTGGCTCCTCAATTTCGATCCATTGTCCGGCTTTTTGCTCAGCTTTGGATCGTTCAACAACAACAACTTCGAAACCATTCTCAACGAGCCAAAAGGCTGCTACACAGCCTGCACCTCCAGCTCCACAAATGAGAACTACTCCGGATGATATTGTGCGTAGTGAGTGTATTTATTTTCTGACTTGTTGTAGTTGTCAGCGTTTGTTGCTGCGTAGCTACTTTGCCACAAGCCGGCATCAGCCAGCTTTATCTACTGTACTTTCCTACGTGTTTGGCTCAGGTCATATCGATATCATGTATTGAGCCTGTTGCTCGAATGAAGTAAGCTGGCGGAACCTCTGTTTTGTTCGGCTACAGCGACCATGTGTCATTTATCGAGCTCAACTCAAGAGCTGGCCTAGAGCCTTGTTCGCCTGAGTGCCATAGAATCCGACATTGAGAGTAACCACACCCTCCAGCCAAGATAGATCAACACCAGCCAAAATCGAATTGTCTTGCGCCAAGAATCGTGCGACGCGATTTGCTACCCATGTCGGCTTCTCGTCGGCTACGACAATGTCAGCCAAACACACCTAAGGTAGGTTACATCAAAATACTCACCGATTCAATGACCAGCCTTCGGTACCACATCAACCTCCAAGTTCGCAGAAACAGGCGCAAAGGACGCCTGCAATAAGGGTTCTAAGCCAAGACTCGCCTCACCACCCAAACCCAAGAGCGGCACCTCCAACGTCGACCCGTTCAAATGTGCCCGGAAGAACGTCGCATCCTCATATACCGTCCTCGCCGCAAGTGGACCCAACATCGCCCTAAGAAACCCCGGTTTCGAGATACTACTCGCATACCGGTCCACCGTATCCTGGCTAAAACTCTCCGGGCCCGAATAGCTTCCGTGGAAGAAATACCACTCGAGGAACTGCTTCTCCTTCCCACGCATCAGAAATTCAGCCAGGTCAGGCACGGAGAAGAACGCCAGCTGCCAATTCTGGTAGGTGTCCCAATACGGTGCTGGAGCTGAAGTCTGCTCGTATCCGAAACCGGGGAGGGCGTATTCGGCTAAAACGAGGCATTGAACGAGATCGGGGTGCTGGATTGCAAGAGCTGCGGCCATGCCTGCGCCTTTGTCGTGCGCGAAGACGTAGGTGGAGGTTATGTTGAGGAAGTCTAGGACGCCTTTGAGATCGGATGCTGAGGCTGCGGCGGTGTAGTTGATGTTTGGTGGGATGCTGGAGTCGCCGGCGTCACGATTGTCGGGTGCGATGACGGTGTAGTTTTGGGCGAGGATGGGGCCGATGTGTTGCAGGTTAGGCTGTGTTGGGGGTTGCCATGGACGAGGAGGAGAGGTGGACCGCTGCCTGTGTAGCGGAAGTGGATGCTGACATCTTCTAGAGCTACACGGCCGTGCTCCCAGTTGTCGAACGGTGTGGTGGCGATGGTGGTGGGAATGAGAGTTGCAGCTATGATGGTAGCCGTGAACAAATTGGACGCGAACATGGTAAAAGGAGTAAAGTGTTCAGGCAGCTTTGTCAAGGCTAGTCATCACCGATGGGAGTTCTGGACCGATGGCATGGCAGGACATTGTACTATGCAAGGCTTTATCATCCGTGTATATGGCACCGGGCCAACATGGTATGTCTCCGACTGCTGATGAGAGCAACACTTACTAGTCGATGAGCCAACAGCATCCTACATGACCAAAATCCTACTTATCTGCTTTGGCTGTTAGGCGTCTCCGCAAGATCAAGGTGAGCTCCAGCTCTGCTTAGTTGACGCCTCCAGCGCTGATCGTGGTATCTTCACTGAGGTAGGTGTTAGGTCGTGCATCAGGTACTAACCGGTGTGCACGCGCAGACTCCTATGCTTACAAACGGAGATTCCTTCAATATTTGGCCGAACGAACGACTGCAGCTCCACTCTTACTTGATGTGCTTCACTACCTTTCCGAACTGCCTCCTGAGGACCTGCTCAAGCTCTGTCATCTCCGAGACATGATGAGCTCCTATCGAGAAGCGGACGTGGCAGGAAGGTTTCGCAAGGTAACATATCTGCATAACTATATCACAGGCCTGTTATCCTGCTCCTCATATTGCTCACATACTCCAACAAGAAAACCAAACATCAGACCGGGTATCGTCATCGCCTCGCTGCCAAAATGCCGAACTAGAACCACAATCATAAAGCATATCAAACATACAAATCATCCAACATCATGAAATCGTAACGAACGTTGTGCTTCCATCTCTTCCCTGCCACTCTCTACATCCTCATTCCCCAACCACCCACCCTATCACCAAGGAATATCCTCCTCCTCAACCTTAACACAAGTCAAATACCCCAACCCCCCACCCTGCCCATCAGCCATAGCCCTAACATCCAACTCCAAACAATTCCTCGTCAACGGCTTAACCATGTCCCGCGCAATATTCTTCAACTGATCCATTTTCCGCTCGAACCGTCTGAGGTTATCCCGCGTGTATAGCGATGAACCGCTCCCTGAGGATGTACCCACGGGCTGAAGTTTAAGGAAGCGCTTGAGTTCCTCGTGTGGGAGGTAGGATTGAGCGTTTGTGTTGCCTATGAGTCTGTAGATTTTGCCTGTTTGGACTGCGGGTGCGGGTGGTTGTTGCGCTTGTTGCGCTTGTGGCTGCGCCGGGAGGCTGGTTTGTGTCGCGCTTGGCGGGGCGGCCGACTGGTTACTCCCTGGTCTTGAGGCATTGGCATTCCCTGTGTTCTTGAGTATCCCTCTGACTTCGGGCGTTGTGTTCTCTGCGATCCACTGGCGGAAGAGACTCATTGCGAGCCAGCCGAGGTAGTCGTTGCTGGGATTTACGCGTTCGCCTCGACTCGTGGTAAGTGTAAGTCTGAACAACTTCGCTTCAACCTTCGACTTGGTTTCTTCCAGTTCGTCGACTTTGTCCTCTATCAGGTCTAGTACAGCTAAAGGCACTTCATAGCCCGTGCCTGCATTTCCCGGCTTGAGATACGGCTGTGCAGCCGGCCACTGCCCTACCACATGCGTAAGTGCTTCCGAGAAGATGACCTTCGATCTCGCCAGATAGCCGAGTTTCAGGTAGCTGGGTGGGTACTTTGCGATCTGCTTGAACAGGCGACTCGAGAAAGCGAGCAGATGGTGCTCTACCCTTGGTCCCACGACACCCAGTGCATCGTACATATCCGCTAGACCGAGCAGGGATTTACATTCGCCGTACGCACTGGCGATGTTGACTGTGTTCAGGATCGGCGCGTAGTTGTAGAAGGAGCGGAAGAGGTTGTCGTAGTCTCGTATTAATGGGTTTGACAGCGCTGGATCCGGTGGCACGGAGAGATTCGCTGCTGATTGGGAAGCGTGTCCAACGTGTGATGGGCGCGACAAATTCGCCATGGAGCGGAAGAAGGAGTGGGATGTTGAGGATGGTGGTTTCGGTCTCGCTTGTGCGGCTACCGGTGGCGGCGCTGATGTTGGTGTGAATTGTTGGTATTGCGGTGCTTTTTGTACTAATATCGGCTCTTCGTCGTCGTTGACAGTAGCCCAATTCAGCTCATAGCGCCATCTCTTCTGACTTGATGCTGTTCTGCTCGCCTGCTCAGGTATGATATATGGTGTCGAGGCAGAACCCGAAACTTCTGATCCCGAATGCTCTTCACCTATTATGCTCAGCGCTTGCGCCTGTTCCGGCCTCTTCTCGCTCGCAAGTAATTGCGCATGCGTCCTTGACCACTCATCGCTCATTCCAGCATCGAAGAAGCCGGAGAATTGTGCGAGCATAAGTCTATGCAGCAGATATCGCTTCTCTTGCCCATCGCATTCAACCACTATCTCGACATCTCCAGTTTGCGCGAAGAAAGGGAACTCGTTCTGGGAAGGATATGACGGTGCGCCATGTCGTGTCCTGCTTTGGTGATGTCGATTCCGGCTACTTCGTGATGTTACTGATGGTGCTCTCCTCGAGCTCTCTGCTATTTCTGCATGCGACACCATGTTCGTGAGGTTATCTGTCGGGTTTCTCCAGGCGTTCCGTGCACCTCCCAAGGATGTGATGGTAGGTGCACTCATATGACTTTTCGCCGCATAGTCGTATGGTCTCAAGACGGCACCAGCCCAGAATCTACTGCGCAAACCGGCAACTCTTCATAGATCGCGTGGTAAGGTAGTCGTGTAGGTTCGATAAAGTCGCGCGCTACTTCGTCGCCTCGAGAGCAAAATGTATTGCCTACGTCACCTCGGATTGCCTGCTGGTCGCGGTGGTCCTGTATGAGCGCAAAGATGGTGTTGGTAATCGAAGAATCGCCGCAGCTCTGTAATGAGAAATCACCAGATCGTGGAATAGAAATCGCAAGTACCGACTCTGAGATGTACCAGACACCTCCATCGACATCTCAACCACAACAAAGACACGCCATGACACGGCAGCCAGCATGAACACTCCGAAACAGCATCAGTCCTCCACCAGGATCTGCTGCAGAGCTCGCCTTCACCGTGCATAACCGTTGCTAATTAAGTTTAGTTCCAAGCGTGCTCCAAGCCCCGTTAGGCTAGCTCGGACATCCCGCCAACGATCTGTGTCCAAAGGTTTGGATCCGAACCAGCAGCGATCAAGAGCCCCGAAACATGCAGCAGGTGACTCGCTGGCCTCTTTGTCCTTGGACGCTGGCAGGCAAGCGTACCCAATGGACAATGAGATTCATAAACTGGGATTGTGAAATGTGGCAGCTGAATGCAAGATGGTTGATCATTTTTTCACAGCCACGATTTCTGGATGCACACCTTGCAGGTTCTTTTCATCATTACTCAGGAAGGTATAGATAGCCTGTACTTTTGGCT